GGGGAGGCGGTTGCTCAAGGTAGCGGCATTGAGTGTACTTTTGAAACACGTCTAAAACTGAAAGGCAAGTTCTGCCAAGCCTGGATGCCTGTTGGAACAATCGTTTCAATATTTCATAGGTTGGTCCAGGCTGACTTGCTGCTAAGAAATGCCCCTTGAATGGAGTCACCAGGAGTCCCTGGGTGGGCCCACAGTGAACTTGCTGGGCCGCTAACGGAAGGGAAGCAGCCCGGGAAGGCCCTGGAGCCCAGTTCTACTCTGACACACAGGCTCACAAGAAGTCCCCGAGGACTCAAAGGTAACTGTCTGGGTTTCGCTCTTTTGGCTTGGAGTGGAGTCTTCAGGTCCACTAGCATGACCAAGGTTCTAAGCAATCGTAGAGTAAAGCAACCGGTTGCACTCAATGTGTACCCAGCTTCCCCCATCCCCGTAGGCTAACTTAATAATCGACCGTTTCTGAAACACCCTTAAACCCAAACCAGACTCATTGCCCTCAAGTCAACTCCCACTCATGGCGACGCTGTAAGACAGGGAGACCTGCCCGTGTGAGTTTCTGAGACGGTAACTCTTTCGGGGACTAGAGAGCCCCGTCTTTCTCCACAAACACCCTTAGGCACAGGTCTGAAGCAGCCAGAATTGAACAGCGCCTGAGCAGGGGAGGCGAAGATTCCCCGGTATTGACATCCACCTCCGAGACCAGTGTTCACACACATCCTTCTCCCCGCTCAGGTCTTGAGTAAACATCGACTCCTTAATGGCCTTCCCTGGCGACGCTTTCTCTACCCCAACCAACCGACTGCCATCGTCGAGTTGGTGCCGATTCATGGCGAACCCAGGTGGGGTCAGGGTAGACTTAGATCTATAGGGCTTCCAAAGGCCATGGCCTTTGGCATTGGATTGCCAGACCTTTTTACCCAGGTGTCTCTGAGAGGATTCAAATCCTCAACTTTTCAAGGAACAGCCAAGCGCATGGCATGGAGTGTTCAGCACCACCCAGAGACTCCTTACTCACCACTACCACCCTCTTTGACCTCCTACAGCAATCTGACAGTGATGTCTTGCTTCCTCTTTTGTTGTTGTCTTTCCCACAGAATGTATGCTCCATGAGGACAGACACCTGTTTGCCCCTGGACTCCTTGAACCCAGCACCACGTAGCTGAACACAAGAAGGCATGAAGCAAGTGCCACTTGTTCTGTTGACTGAATGGATGCCTAGGAAGTAGGAGGCCCTCACAGTCCAGCTGGACCTTCTGCCCCTCTCCCATGCAGAGACTAGCAGCGGTTGCTTTCTTAACTGTCTAGGGAGACAATCAGAGTGGATAGTTGGCCAAGCCAAGGTCTAAGTAACTGGAAGATGGTCCAAGAAGCCACAAGATGCTCCTTTAAATGATGCCCAAGGCTATTTTACAATGCTTCGTGGCAGGATGGCACAGGCTTATGGTCCTTACAGCTGGGTGGGCCCCTAAGAGATTTACTCCCCTCTTAGTAGTCTTGGAAGAGAGGAGTCCTGGAGCAGGAGGCTCCTCGGTGCTCCCTCCAACCAATCCCTGCAGGAAAGGTCCAGGCTTGGTCTCAAGGCCCAGAGATGTATGCCCTGCCGGTGGAGGGACTGGCACTTACTTTGACTGCCCTCGGGTCCCGAGTCTTCTGGTAGTTAACTGAGGAAACTGCTGCCGGATGATCTGTAAGTCAACACAAGAGACCGTGAGTCACCTGGCAGAGCTGGAAGCACGTTGTTGAATTGTGCAAGTGAGCCACCGTTACAGAGAACGAGGGAACACATACCCTTCATATGGTCCTGGCTGGTGAGGAGGCCCTCTGGACCATGGGGGAGATGGCTCAAGCTTGGGGCTGGGGCGTGCTTAGTTGATTGTGGGGCTCTGGGTCCTGGCCCACCTGTGCTTTGCCCACTCCCACTCACAGGAAGACGCCATTGGACCAAGCAGGATGGTCCTCCCATTAAA